GCCGGAATATCGCTGAACGACCTTGCTGAACAAGAAAGGCCTTCTCTTCGTTATATAAGTAACCATTTCCTGTTTCACACATCGGTATTTTTCACTCGCATTGATATTTCATCGTTCCGCTTCGAGACACAGTCAAACAAGAGTTAAGATATAACTTATTACTTTTACTATTTTTATCATCCAATTACAGGTCGGAGCCATTCCTGTATTTAGTCGCTTGTCGGTGTTTTGGGTACCCCCGCGTTTTTGGTATAACGCTCAACCATCGATTATGATGGCCCAGTGAAATACAAATCCAAGGAATCGCTGTCAAAAGTCATTACATCTTCCAACATTCCGAAACGAGACTCCTCAAGATGAATATACCCGAGCAAGGGCACAAAACTCCACATACTGTGTCTCTGATTGTTGAGGATGGGAAGGAATTCAAGACGCTTTCACATATTCTTTCCACAGCAAGTCCCTTCTTTGAAAAACTTCTCTCCAGCAACATGAAAGAGAATCAGGAGGGGGTTATTCGATTGGAGGTCTTCACGGAGTCGCTGATGAAAGATGTTCTCGAGTTTATTCAGACTGGTAACGTTCGGATTTCGACTCGTGAAAATGCCGAAGAGCTCGTTGCAGCAGCGGATTACCTATGTCTCTCCAAGCTCAAGTCGTTCGCTGGGAAGTTTATCGAGCAGACCATGTCCTCTTTAAACTGCGTTTCAACTTACTTCATGGCGGAAAAATTCGATCATTCCGAGCTGTTAGACAGCGTGCGGAAGTTCATCTTATCAAATTTTGCCGACGTCGCACAAACAGAAAACTTCCCACGTTTACCGAGTCACGAGGTTGAACAGTTGGTGTCCAGCGACGATATTGTTATCAATTCAGAGGAAGACGTTTTCAATGCAATTTTCAAGTGGACCCTTCACAAGAAAAGTGAAAGAAGCAAAGAATTCTGTAAACTCTTCAGTCACGTTCGATTGACCTTTCTGTCGCGTGACTTTTTACTGAAGGATGTCGTGACAAACGAAATTGTGACAGAAAATGAAGACTGTATTGATCGCGTGAACAGTGCGTTAGCTTGGATGAATCGAAAAACCGACTGCGACCTTTCCCGGCCGTATTCTCCAAGGAAGGCAATGGAGACATGTGTCATTGCAATATGGGGAGAGGATAAGACATTCCGCCCTCTTTTCTATGTTCCTGAAAATAATGATTTTTATCAGCTACCGGGTATGGCCGAACCGGACTGTGTACCACAGCATGTCTTCTCATGCCGAGGGAAACTATTCTTTGTTGCCCAGGAAGTAAATAAATCGCAATATTATGACCCAGACTCCAACTGCTGGCATCCAGCACCATGGACGAAGACCGATTCAAAGCCAAATTGGTGCAAAACTAACCGTCGAGAGATAGGCAAACTATTTCTTCGCGCAGTGTTAGTTGTCGAAAACGAAATTTGTTTTATTGAAGAAAATCTACAAATTTATTCAAGCTGTCTCTGTCAATTTAACTTGGACAAGAAATCCACGACTCGCTCGAAGGACTGGTTAAAAACAACAAGGACTTGTCTCGTTACTTTGGGCCAGTACATCTACGTCATAGGAGGGACAAAATCCGACGTAAATATCGTCCCCCATTGCTCTAGGTATGACATCGTGAAAAACAAATGGCAGAAATTGGCAAACTTACGCTTTGCAAGATTTAGAGCCCTTGGAATTGGAACACAAGAAAAGATTTACGTCGCTGGAGGATGGCTCGACTTCGGCGGTGAGATTACCAACACGTGTGAGGTTTACAGTGTATTGACTGATGAGTGGCATTTAATTGGTCGTTTAACAGTTCCCCGGGACATTGGAAACATGCTATCGATCGATGAATCTTTGTACGTATTGGGTGGAGTTTGCCATCCCGTTCTTGGAAAGATATGGTCAGTTGAAAGCTACGAACACGAAAAAGATGAGTGGAAAGAAAACCGACATTTCCTTGACATTCACAAAATCATGACGTTCACAGCGTGTACCTTTAGACTGTTGAAAGACGTGTCAGTTAAGCTGAAACACCATGGCAACTCTTAATCAATATCAAAGCCTCATGCATTAGTATGATATCCATATGTTAGACCCCATTTTGTTGGGGTTGAGTGCCAAGGAAATTTTCTTGTCGTGTCCATGGAAACTGTTGGGTTTCACTAAGTAGGTCAGTCAGGAGCACATACTCTTCCATTCCATTCTACATCCTGTATTTCTTCAATGATCACCCATGTAACAATCCAGTACAATCACGTTACTTGATTACAATCCTTTTACATCATTCAATAGTCTTACAGTGATTTCACTAATGTTGCTATAGTACTCAATACACTACAGAATAGTTTAAAGAAACAGCCACCTTTCCACACAAAATATATAGCCGGTTACGTAGAATAGTCCATTTTACAGTTACGTGCTTGGTTGCCAAGCCTTTGAACAGGAGTGAGGCAAAGGTGGCCTTGTTATGATACAAACGTTGCTCTTTTCAAATGTAAATTACTTTGTTATTATGCTAACTAGATACTGGTCTATATCACAACAATTGCTCTGACGAAGGGCTAACGCTCGAAACGTCAGCTTTTTTACTCTTTACGGTGGCCAATTTACGTTTTCAACCTAGTTGTTAACACTAAATTACCTGCTATACTCTGCCACCGACGCAGCACCACAGTTTCTTCACTTACCTCCTTTATTCATCTATCACAGTAAGGTCACCTTCAGCCTCACTCCAAATAAAAGGCTTGGCAACTAAGTACACAACTGTAAAATGGCCCATTGAATGGCAGATTTTCGGTGAATAAAAAATGTCTGCCGTTATGGCCTCGAACATGCATGTAACAGTAATTCCAATCTGTTTTATAACTCAAACTTTAACATATCCTTAACCAAAGAAACGTTCATTTTAGAATGAGTGATTGGGGCCTCCTATTAATGAAACCCAGTTGGTGCTAATTTGAAGAAGGCACTAAGAACGTCAGAACAACACAGCCTATATTTCATGTAGATATAAATTGCAACATTAGAAAGAGAAACAAGAACATGTCTTTCAATAGAGACACAACAATTTCTTGGCGTTGCACGCATTTGCTTTCACTTTGCTTCAACTGATGTAACTTATTAGTGTCCTGCTGGTAAGAAGTTTATTCTTCCACTTTTTAGCCCACAATAGTCTTTGGGATCTTTAGTCAAGCGTATGCAAGCAAGCGCGAAACGAGCGCTTAGGGCGCGTCACGCGGAAAGAAATGAACGGTATTCCGCCTAAGCGGGACCTATCCTTCGCGCTTATCGCGTGCTCGACTCAAAACTGAAAAAAAATATTCCATAACAAGCAGATAATCGCATGTCTGTGAATACCCAGGGGCTAGTAATGGTAAAATCTGTGGACGATTTTCATAATTAGTCACCAGTAATTTTCATTTGCGTTTGAAAGGCACGTGGAAAGCATTTGAATAGTATGTGTAAATATCGTCCCTTTCGAACAGTGTTTTCTCATGCTTTTCAATTAGTTCTTGAGGCAGACAACTGAGAACTTGCCCTCATGCATTGGCATTGGAGTCTTGACGGCGATTTGTGAATGATCCGACCCCAAATTCTTAACAGTCGAGCATCCAGCGGATTCCTTGACTCGTCCCCAGTAGTCAAAATGGGTGCAACCAATGTGAGTGGGATAGAAGGAAGAAATGTGATGGGTAAGGAAAAAACGAAAGAGGAAGTTCTTCTCCTTCCCGTCACTCCTTTTTACCCCATTTCAGAGCCGCGCATATTTTGAAAACGATTGGGGACGAGTCAAAAATCACCAAATATCATATTGCACTGTCGCTGTCTGAAGTAGTCTTATGATCGCCACAGCCCTCTTTCGTAAAAAAAAAACGTTAACACAGCGACTGTCCATTGTTTTGATAGCTTAAACATATCCCGATAAACTTTGCTGTTAGGTTCGCCAAGTCTTAACTCTTTCCACAACTCCTAAACGAGCTGACAGCTGAAGATGAATTTGTCCGATCAAGCCGAGTCTGAATTGTCTAAAACTGTGTCTCTGATTGTTCAGGATGGGAAGGAATTGAAGACGCTTAGACATGTTCTTTCCCAAGCAAGTCCCTTCTTTGAAAAACTCCTCACCAGCAACATGAAAGAGAATAACGAAGGAGTAGTTCGATTGGAAGTCTTTAATGAATCGCTGATGAAAGATGTTCTCGAGTTTATTCACACTGGTAACGTTCAGATTTCGACTAGTGAAAATGCCGAGGAGCTCATCGCGGCAGCGGATTACATGTGTCTCTCCAAGCTCAAGTCGTTCGCTGGGAAGTTTATCGAGCAGACCATGTCCTCTTCAAACTGCGTTTCAACTTACTTCATGGCAGAAAAATTCGATCATTCCGAGCTGTTAGACAGCTCGCGGAAGTTTATGTTATCAAAATTTGTCAACGTCGCACAAACAGGAAATTTCCTACGCTTACCGAGGCATGAAGTTGAACAATTGGTTTCCAGCGACGATGTAGTTATCAAGTCAGAGGAAGACGTTTTTAAGGCAATATTAAGGTGGACCCTTCACAAGAAAAGTGAAAGAAGCAAAGAATTCTGTAAACTCTTCTGTCACGTTCGATTAACATTTCTGTCGCGTGACTTTTTACTGAATGATGTCGTGACAAACGAACTTGTGACAGAAAATGAAGATTGTATCAGTAGCGCGACTAACGCTTTAGCTTGGATAGATCGTGCTGGTGACGATGACTTTTCAAGACCGTTTTCTCCACGAAAGGCTCTTGAGAAAAGTGTCATCGCAATTTACAGAAAGGATAAGCCTTTTAAGAACCCTCTCTTTTACCTTCCCAAAAAGAATGATATTTATCGCTTGCAGGGCATGGCCAAAACGGACTGTGAACCGGAACATGTCTTCTCATGCCGGGGGAAACTGTTTTTCGTTTCCAAAGAAGTGGATGAATCACAATATTATGACCCAGACTTCAACTGCTGGCGTGCAGCACCCTGGACGAAAACAGATTCAGAAATAAACTGGCTGCACTGGCGAGCAATGGGTATACGACATCGTCGCAAAGTAGTAGTCGTTCAGAACGAAATTTGTTTCATAGAAGAAGATTTAGAGGAAGACTCAAGCTGTCTCTGGAAATTCAACCTGGACACGAATTCCACGAGTTGCTCGAAAGACTGGCTGGAAAGAACAAGAATTTGTGCCGTAACTGTTGGGAAGTACATTTATGCTATCGGTGGGGTTAGAGACATAAATATTATTAAACAATGCTCGAAGTTTGACATCGCGGAAAACAAATGGGAGAAGTTAGCGGATTTAAACCTGACCAGGTATGATGCCCTTGGAGTTGGAACACAAGAAAAGATTTACGTCGCTGGAGGGTGGCTGGACTTTGATGAGATTACCAACACGTGTGAAGTTTACAACAGGTCCACAGATGAGTGGAACTTGATGTGTCGTTTAACAGTTTCCCGGCCTTTTGGAAACTTGGTGTTAGTTGGTAATTCTTTGTACGCGGTGGGTGGTGCTGTACATGATTTATTTAGAAAGATATGGTCAGTTGAGAAGTACGACTATGAAAAAGATGAGTGGGAAGAAAAGAAATGTACCCTCTGCGTTGAAAACATTTCGCCGTACCAAGCCTCTTCCTTCACACTTTTGAAAGAGGATTCAGTCAAGTTGAAACGTTACAAAGGTATCTTTCGCTGAGAAGTCCTTCCGGTTTCGGGAAACCCAAACCAAAGTAACGATAGATCTTTAAGAACACTGCACTACGTACCTACGTCCCTTAAAAAACCATTTTGTTCTCGTCAAGTTCTCTTCCAACAATTATCTCAACCTTTTTACGCCCTAACATTAGTATGAATGTTCTTCATAATGTACGCTATACATTCCCAAGGTGCTGACATGGAGAATTTGTTTAACAACCAAGAGCTTCTTCAGTTAGTGATCACTTCCTTTATTCCCATTACCTCAATGTTTGATTCAGGAGTGATATTGTAAGGAGAAATTAGATGCTGGTCACTATTAGTAGCGAAAGGGTTAAGCGACCCTATGCAAATTTCCAGGGGGTCTGTGACCCCTTTAGAAACCAAAAGTTTGACAAACTCTTTTAGTTTGTGTTTCCACTAAGAGTCTAACCACTAGATAATATAGAATCCTTGTGTTACTCAGATATCAAAATGAAGAAAATAACTGTTCTGTATTCTAATGAAAAGTTCTCTACTGAAGGGAAAATAATTTCCAGTGATTTTATGGGGAAAAAAATGAAATTGCAAGCTTTCATTTCCTAAAACTATTAATGAATAAAAGAACACCATATTGCTTGATTTAAAAATGTAATTTCTGATTTTTGAGTAACATGGGAACAAATTAGTCAGAAATTAATATTCTGATGGCACATTGAAGAGTTTTGCATGCATCATGGAAGTTTCAGATTATTTAAGCATTTTGCAGGAAAATTAAGTCATTCTAGGTCAGTCAGTCCTATGTTTGACCACCTTCTTTTTTGTATTTGTTATAATTTTGGTATTCTAACTCCTTGTAAAATATCATTACATTCACTGATATTTCTTTGTGATTAGTGGTGCAACCAGGTCAGTTACCGTTTTCTTAGGGTGTTGTGCTGCTTTGTTAGATGAGGAATACGTTTTCACTCATTTTTTGGCCACATCTACAGGGTGGCGTTTTTAGTGGTTTTTCGTATCTGACATAGTACAGGTTCTTTTTTTAGAACCCCTAGTTTAAGGGTGCACATGTTACGATTGTATCAGGATGCATATACTAGAAGACTGACTGACTCATCCTTAATAAACTTTTTATCTCATGTGAGTGTGGTCAGAATTACATTTTTATTGGATGAACTTTGTGTATTCCTGAGAAACAAAAGCACATAAGCTCATGTTCTCTTGACGAGAAGAGAAATAGTAATAATTTGTGTATTAAATCACTTTCTTGCTTTGGTATTGTGGTGTCTCTTAAGTGATCACCTCTTACTTAAAAGGGTCATTGCAAGAGCCAGCTGACTGTATTCACAACAACCATTTTGAACATAGGTAAACAGGTCAAACGTGAGTAACACAAGTGTTCAAGTCGTGACTGATTTTAGTCCCCAATCTGATTGACTGAAAAAGTAGCTCGAGTTTTAATTAATGAACAGTCAAAGAGCGAAAATCTAAAGCAAAACCAAAACAATCCAAGTTTAATATTGTGGGAATTTGAGCAAGGCCTTAAAGAGTGTTACTCTACAGAGTTATAAATCAGAGCTTCTGCCAATCAACAGCATCATCATTTTGAACGAATGGTCATTTTTTATTTACAAATACCTACCTATCAGTATCAATAGAATGCTTCATTATCCTCAGAGTAATGCATAATTTCCTTATCTATTTGCAAGTTTGACAACAGTTCATTCATAGTAGGCTTGGGATCAAGTTGTATTTTTTCGAGAAGACTCTCTGCAGCTTCCTGGCTTACTCTTCGCCACTTGTCTATTAAACATTTCAGCTCCATGATGTCATTCTACAAAAATCAGGAACAACCAAGAGTCACTATCAAAAGTATAAAATCACAACCACAGGCATCCTAACTATGGTTACAGGTATCCCAACAGTGGCCACAGGCATCCTAACTGTGGTCACAGACAGAGAGCCCATCCAGCCAGATGTTGGGTGGGTAAATTTGTCAGGCTTCATTTTTCTTATATTTCTTTGTATGTATTTTGCCAGTGAGTATCAATTTATTCTTTGCTTACCTTATTTCTGTACATTTTGACAAGATTTAGCTTTCTCAGGGAGTCTTCTCTCTCTTGTATTATTTTGATTAAATTTTTTTTCTCAGTCTGAAGCTGGTGTAAAGCTGACCCAGTTTCCTTAGGACTGGGAATCTCATTGTAATCTTGACTGTTAATATATCTACATCTTTTTGGTGTATCAAAATTTTCCTGCAATAGAAAAGATAAATCAATCTAAATATAACTGATTTATGATTTTTCTACCATTAAATTTCAGTAAGATATCACAAGATTTTCAGGGAGTTTTAGGCAAGTGACTCAAAACTACATATATGACAAACAGAAACTCTCCAACCCAAAATGAGCAAAAACCATGTTTTTAACCCTTTACGCCCTAACATCAGTATACATATTCTCCATACTATTCTCTATACCTTTCCTTGGGCAATGACAACAAGAATTTGTTTAACCATCAAGAGCTTCTTTTGTTGGTGATCATATTTGTTATTCTCAGTACCTTTATGTGTGATTTGGAGGTGATATTGTAACGGGAAATTAGATGTTTGTAACTGTTAGGGGTCAAAGGCTTAAGTCATTTTAATTCTGAATCTGTCACTGCTTTACCATAAATCACCAATGAATTAGCTACATGTTACCTGATTGTCAGAAAGAAAACAGCGCTTTATTACTGGAGAAACAAATGGTGATGACACTCTTCGGAGCCCACATGATCTTTTACATGATGTTGGCATATACTGAGTGAAAATAAAAAGTGTTAAATAAGTATGTGTTTATTTGATTGTCACTCACATATAAATAATTATCTCATAACTAATTCCTCAGATGAAATATCATTTAATTTAGTGATGCATTACTTACAAAAGGACAGGTTCCTCTTTCTGGTGGGAATCATAATTTCCTCTATATTACAGTAGTCAAGCTCAGCTCACCAAATTCTTCTTTACATTCAGAGTTCAAAGTTATAGAATTGCATTATTTATCATTATGGGTGTTTCTCATCTGTTCAACAATTTCTTTTTGAAGCTTTTAAATGAGATGACAAAGCCCACTTAGTCCAAATACAAATATATTTAGTAGTATGACTGTAAGCATCATTATAGCTGTAATCAGTTAATAGTACCTTCTGATTTACGCATGAAGAACTCCCAATGTTTCTTGTAGATGGTGTTCTAGACTGTGGTGGTGCTGACTCTGTAGAAATAGAGCAGCACTGCTTCATGTTATGAAATTTGAAAAATTTATAATGTAGCCCTTTTAAAGCTGCAATGATGCTACAACTTCCAATATTAATTTTAAAAAAACAAACAATGAAATTATAATATTGTATTCTGTGCAATTGATCATTCAGCATAAGGCTTGGAAAAACAGCTGTACAAGATATGGTGGTAGAGAGGTTTGTGTCCTAGAGTCCTGATTAAAAGGTTTGAGTTTAAGCCCTGAGGAGGTCCTTGTGTTATGTTCTTGGGCAGGATACTCTGCTCTCACAATGCCTCCCTTCATCAAGTAATGTACATGGGTAATGAAAAACAGTTACAGAAACTGAAACCCTGTAATGTCTGTGATGGACTAATATCCAGTTCAGGAGAGAAAAGCAATACTCCTAATTCTTCACCCTATTGAAACTGGTAAAACAATCAGGATAGCAACACAGATGAAGATATTGATCAAAAAATGAATTTATATTGTTAGATAAAATTTTGCAAATAGCTGAAACATAAATAAATTGCTAGCAGCATTCTGTTCTCAAACACACAAATTTTTGTGATTTCACATTGTTGTATTAGGACATGGCTAAGCTACTGTTCTGTCGATTAGATCTTTTTTTTTTGGCCATATCCTTGTTGCTGTTACCATAATGGTGTGATTGCAGTCCCAAATATCCCACATGATGGGCTTTTGTTTTCCTTTGGCTACCTTCACCTTTAACCTTTTGGCCACACAGCAGTATGTTGTGATGACAGAGACCCAGTGTAATTTTTAAAAATTGTCTGGAATTACTTTTAAATGAAATTTTCTTGAATGCTTTATGAGTGGTCTTGGAAACTTTGAAGACCTACTTGATCAATAACATGTAGAAGAAAAGATGGTCATAGTTTTCTTTCAGTTCTCATAGCCTCTTTGTAATCCCTGTCAAGTTAAACTACTTTTAATCTACTAAGTCTGATCTGTACTTTCTTTCTGATTAGGAAAATTAAATGACAACAAAATGTTGCACACAAATTCAGTAAGAGATCATTTTGACGAGCATGATATGAAACCAGGTAAATGTACCATTGTTCTACCTGGCCAATGTTTTATGTAAAAACTCAGCTATAAACACAATTCAAGCCTGGAAAATGGAAATTGTTGTCCACAGGATGACTACAGCTGAACCTGGATTAAGTGGCACTGTATTATATTGTCACCCTGTGTTAAGCAATTGGTTGTCAAAGTTCTGAATTTGTCTCCCCTTAATTACTGTAATTTTCACCTCTATTATGCTGTCGCTGTCACCCTTTACTGACACAATGACCTGTTTTTATTGTTTTCCACCTGTATTGAATGGTCACTGAAAGCGGATCACTCCAGTAAAACTGATAATCGTTGAAATAATTTTCAATCCATGTCTCTCTCCCAAAATCAAAGTAAACAGTATTAGTTGTGTATCGTTTTTTATGAAACCCCTTATCTGTGGAACCTGCATTAAGCGGTCGACTTCTATCAAACGGTCACCCCGCCATTCCCCGTGGTTGACCGCGTAAAGTAATACAGGTACGACTGTTATTAAATGTTCGTTTCGGCCCGACCTCGGTTCAAGAGGCCAGATGAAGAGACAGTTCAATATGTTCAGGGGTGGCGTTGTGCGAAAAAGGAAGTCAAATAGTAGAGCCTTGGAGAATTATGGTGGAAAAAAACAAAGAAAAATTCACAGGTTCTCACACCGAGGTTAATCCTTCGTTTTACATTAGTGGAGTACCTTCAGAAGTATTTGAAATTCCCGCCACATTGTCCGCCATAATTCATGTTTTCATTTTGTGATTAACAGTACGCATGAGCAAATGGCTTGTTCACTGGCCCGAAATCACGCGGGGTCACGGAACTTCCTGTCTGTAGTAAAGAAACTGCATGAAAATGAGAAAAATGTTTTATTATTGACGGAACCAACTTTACACATGTTGTCACACAAAGAGAGAGAAGGATGTAAATCCATCTTGAACAAACTTCCTCAACAGGATTTAATAAATCTCACGGATACAGTAACGAACCGAGTAGTATCGCCTGAAAATACTACTGGTAAGGTTTTACAAGTATTTCGCTTTTGTGTATATATCTTAGTGGACGTTTTGGCGTGTTATATCACAGAGTATGTTTACGAGTTGTACCGTATTTTGACGAGGATGAGTGAAAATACAAACAAAGAGAACGAATATTCAGCAATGCTATACACCAAAACGACTAATAAGTAATTTCTTCTCTCACTGCTTTATTTTACATCCATTTTTTATCAAGCGGGAAAAGTGAGGGGTATTACAAGATAATTTGATTTCATCAACTGAGTTGATACTGTAGACTGGCTACCATAAAGAATTTCTAAAGCAGACATTTTGTCCATAAGTCCTTCGTCATATGCTCAAAGGTCAGCCTTAGAAACTACTTCACAAGTGTTTTCAAACCCTACAAATAAATTATCTTCTTGTCAAGTTTCTACGTTGTCCAACTCGTCCGTTTTCATTACTTTGTATGCTACAGCAGATTTTCAACTCATTCTTTGAACATTAGGATTAAGTAAAATAAGTACATTTGTGTATTTCTAAGTTAACTTGACCTTCTAGTTTTCCTGTATTTCTTGCTTCGGCCAATAATTAGTAACTAAACATTTGGAAAAGGTTTCTATATAACCTCATACTATTCTAAAACAAAGCTGTAATCCCAAAGGCAGTTTATTCATTTCACCATCCACTAGCCCACTTTTGAAACATGGATAAAATTAAACCAGATCTAGAGCAGGACAATTCAAACCTCCCATAATTCTGTTGATCACCCTCCCTTACAGAGGCAGTCAATGCCATTCTAAGTTACAGCCATACGGCCTCACAGTTGCTGAAAAGGAAGAAAGTAAAGAGAGAACATATCTATCAGTACTTGGCAGAAAAAGGGATAATTGAACCTGTTGCGTCTGACAAGCCCACCTTGATAAAAAGGGCATTATTGTATTGGGGCTCTAGCAAAGAGGTGAGTTTCTAGGGTTTATTTGAATGCAAGTTTCAGTTGAGTAAGGTGATTTGTGCTATTAAATATGTAATTTGTTTCGTCACCCGCTTTACCAAGCTTCATTCTGTAACCTTTTGATCCCTAAGAGTAACTAACATCAAATTTTTCCTTACAGTATTATGCTATAATCTAACTGACAGAAAAACACTGCAATCCTACAAACTCAACTTCTTTGTTAAACAACAAGTGATATTCTTAATAGGGAGTGACTCCTTAAGGCAGTACAGTACTTATGCTCAATAAACTCACTTAAGCCCATTACAGTCTATATCTTAGCTCACCACTGAGCCAAACTCATAGTTTTCTCCAATGTTTCTTGAAATTAGCAATCTTCTGCTGTAGTTCTCTCCCACTTTCTAAACAGCTGGTCACTCCAGACAACAACAAATACAATTACTATATAACTGAGTCCTTATATACATTCACAGAGTGTTTTGGAACATTTCAGAAGTTTACAAAAGAACTGTTTTAGTAGTATTATGTAATAACTGTGTGACCCGACAAAATGTTCCAGAAAGTTCTGTGGTATGCATGTCAGCTTGACTAAGCAGTCTGGAGATTTCTAGAAGCTTTTACCTACAACAACAATTACTCATAACAACAGTAGCACCCCTGAGTCACATTAAGGTCATGAGTAAAGAGGAGATGATCACCAACTTAAGACTGAGGCTCTTGATTGTGAAACAAATTCTCCTTATCAGCATGTTAGGAAATGTATAGAGAACAGTATGGAGAATATGCATACTGATGTTAGGTTGTAAAGGGTTAATTATGTTAAAATGTTTGAACCCTCTCCAAAGATTTTCAATTCATTCACCATGGAGTGGAGAGGATGTTTCTTATCAAACCGCCATTTAGAGGTGTTGTAAAGACTTCCTCTTTAAACTTTAGATTTTAAAGTACACTACAATAGTACAAATTAAACTTAGAAATTCCTGAGAGCCTTAGCAAACTTTGCTAGACACACATGTCAAAGCAAACCATATCTTTGTTGTGAACTTCACATTCAAGAATCTGTGTCAAAATAGAAATTCCATAAGACACAATATATTTCTAATAGTCGCGTACAGCCAAATTCTTCAATAGCACGTGCACTGACATGGTGCCCTTCAAAAGATAAGTTATGCATAAATGACATAATAGACATGACAGGTGTCAAGGATGTATGTGACTTCTCATGGTATACCTCTTGATATACCCTAAGAATTCAGTGAGATGTTGGGTTAGGACCCAGTGTTGTAAAGAAAAGCTTATATCTATTCCTAGAACTGTACAATGGAAGAAATTCCTGACATGTATGCTGGATAAAAGAACTTTAACAGGTTTGTCGCAAATTTGTCTTTTCTTTTTCTCTTTAGGATAGCGAAGAGGAGATTGAAAATGAGTCTGAAAACCTAACAGCATCAGAGCCTAATTCAGCAATTTCACGCAGTGATACTAGCTGTACAAATCCTCCCTTTGACAACAGTGTTGATGGACAGCAGTTAGCTGAATATTTTATACCCTGGTTCTACAAAATCTTGAACTCTTTCAATACCCTCTCTGACAACACTTCACAGGAATGGGGTCCACAGCATTTTTGGGAAGATGCAAAAGGATCAGTGCTTGTAGTATCTAATGGACAAGTATTTGATGAGTGCCAAGGAGCGATGGCAGTTAGTACAAAACTTCAAGAACTTGTTTGCAAAGAAAAAATACTCTTTAATGCAAATTTAAGTGGGGCAAGGGGCCACATAGATGCTTATGGACTTGTCAAAATATCAGTTGGAGGCACAGTCCATAGATTTTCCAACTGCCTTGGAATTTTCGAACAATCATTCGGACTCATTCGAGACCCACAGATGCAAAATAACTGGAAAATCAAATTTACTGAGCTAAAACTGAAAGCACAGCAACAACAAAATGAAGTAGAAGGTATCACAAAAAAGGCTATTACATAAACTAAGAAGAGAATGTAATATCAATAGACTGTAGTGGACAGTGTCACTATTTTAACACTATGGCTGTTTTCTTAAATAGCGAGCGTCACTTTTTTTCTTGTTTTCAAGTACTTGCCAAATATATGAATTAGAGAAAAAAAAACAAGAGGAAAAAATTTCTTTCTCTATTTCTTCACCAAGTTCAAAACTTACCATCTTTCTTGTTCTATTTACAAACATGACACTATCGACATTGCTGATCCTAGCAGTAGGTATCCAGTTAGATCGCACCATGGTTAGATTGCTCCCTGTAAGATTGCTCCACTCAAAAGTTAGATTGCTCCATCAAATAAGTTACTTTGCTCCAAACATAAGTTACTTCACTCCATGTTGTTATGTGAAGTATTTCTTAGCAACGATCTTTAAAGTTCATTGGTGATGATGTGTCTTATGATATATATATATATATATGTATATATATATATATATATATAGGTGGCTAGATGTATAGTGATGATGGAATAAATGATTGTGGTTACACTTTGTGAGTCCATTACATGAGGTTTTATTTGTTCTTTCTGCGTAGCTTGGATTTATTTCAAGAGTGCGCAAGCAATATTAATTTATTGTTAGATAAGATATACATATCATTTAGTGAATTATCAATTTAGATAGCTTAGTTTTGCTACCTTTACCTTAGTTTTCTACATGGAGCGAAGTAACTTATGTTAGGAGTGACATAACTTATTTGATGGAGCAATCTAACTTTTGAGTGGAGCAATCTAACCTGTGGTTGGAGCAATCTAACTGGGAGCAATCTAACCATGGTGTGATCCGACCATAATTTTAGCAGTATACAGGAGGAGTGTCATATGAACATAGTAATAAGCCCTGCTCACTATAGAGTCTCTGTGGCTCAGTGGTAGAGCATCAGAATGTGGACTCTGAAAGTCTGAGCTTCGATTCCTCATAGAGACTCAGAATTTTTTCTTTGCTCTACGCTTGTGATGAGATGAAAAAACATATTTCTCTATTTCTTTACCAAGCTCAAAACTTACCATCTCTCTTATTTTATTTATATGAATTACATAGACAAGTTTGTGTCTTTTATACACAGTTAAAAAATATCTTTAACCCTTTCACAACAGAGATCTCATTAATGAGTTTCCATACTGTCTGCCAAACAATTCTTATGAGGTTTGTTTGGAGAATTTGTTATTGAACCAACAAATCATTGTCTGACTGGTATTTTTCTTTATTTCCATTACTTCTCTGCTTCAAGGTTTTCATTGTATTGTACTGAAGTTTGACCGCTGAGGAATATCAAAAGATATTCTGCAGTTTAGGTTGAGGGATTTTGGTCTCTTGATGTGATTAGAACAACCACATTCAATCGATATTTGATGAATAATAATACTATCTATTGGGTATACAAAATTATAGAATGAAATATCCTCAACAAATAACAAAAACACTCTTGACGATCAAAATATTTGTGAAAAGTGAAAATATACCATTTATCACGTGAAAATATCTATTCAGCCTCGCCAATTTCCTGCTATTAGAAATTGTTTAATTTTCAACCCCAAACAGTTGAATAAATATGTGAGATTTTTTTCTGAATTCATCAACTGACAAGGCATAGTAGACAAATTATCCATTATCAATAACAAATAACATTTTAAAAGCAATGGCTCTCATGAATTGAATCAGGCAGGAACAAGGAACATCCTTTTTACTTTGTGTGTATGTTTGTCTTAGCCATTGTTTTTTTTTTCCTCTTGGCCTTCAGGAGAAGGAAACACATGATAAATAAGCTTGATCAAAATCTTAGTTCATTGTGCTGTTTACCGTAAGCATAGTCAGGCTTCTAAGTCCTACAGTCAAGTGAGGATTGCGTGACCGTACATTTAAAGCATGACCATAGATGTTGAAACTTAGGGAGAAGTGAATCTGCCTCAAATAGTGAAACAAATTGTAATTACTCAAAATCTCTGGCTTTTGTAATATTTCAAATTTAGGGCTTCAGTTTCAGCTGAAGAGGACCAAGGTACAATAACCACCTTAGGTAGGGCTCATCCGTAAAAATAATATACATCAAACCACCAACGATTACTGAATATGGCAAGATAAATACATCGTTTTAGATATCACTGGATCACGAGCCAGCCCCTAAACAAAACCTAAAGAGTAATTTCAAAATGCTTTAATGACAATTCGTCTCTGTTTCTTTTATTTTTCAAGTTCTTAGTATATTATTTCGATATTCTATGATTTAATGCACGTATCAGAGAAGAAAAAACTTAATTGCAACAATCCGCCTTGAAATTAACTCCAAACCAACATGGACTTTGATAGCTGTCAGTTAATCCGATAGGTGTAACGATAGTAACGTGACTGTCATTATCCACATATTCCCATTGAACCTGCGGCCAAATAAGCGGAAAACAAACCACTTCCTAATTGATATCCTGGAGTTGTTTGTCAATCTGCGAGTTTTGGGAGGTCAGCCAATCAGGGAGCGTTCTATAAATAGGAGCCAGTACGTATTTATTCGATTCGATCTGCTACAGCGATTTAATGTGACATGTCAATCCGTGTTATTTGTTACATCCAACGAGCAGAAACGAAGGTTTATTGCAATCAACATCCTCATTGTCAAAAACAAGGATGCATCCTCCTAGCGCTTGCTTTCTAGGTGGACTCCGTATGTACAAGATTGTTCTTCTTGGAGAGGGCGGCGTGGGAAAATCAGGTAAGTTTGTGCACGGGCTTACTTCCCGCTTGACTGAAGGAATTCGCGAGCAAACACTTGTAAAAGGGAACAGTGTTGATCGTTGAAACGAAATCGCTTCCTGGATGAGTTTGCCCAGTGGACTGAAGTTTAGTATTGAGCTACAACTCCTGCTAAGTTTTTCTACGAGAGTTATTTTAGTGAAGAACAAAATCAGAAAGTGAAAAGCGAAAAGGTTATTTGTTTGCTCTAACGCGCCTTTTAGCTCAGTTAATTATAAAATATTTGGAATACCTCAAAGCTATAACATCTGTTTGTCTCGGGTAAACGTTGTCTGTTTTGCCATCTCTCATTCTAGTTATGTTATTTAGTGCGCTTGGAATTTCAACTCATTCGATCTGACCACATTTTTCTGCTCGCGCAAACAACTCGCTCTGGTGAAATGTATACTTTGCTGTGCTTAGTGAAACGAAACAAGTTATTTCTTGCATGTTAAAATTGTTTTGTAGTTCGTTTCACAAACATTCGCTTTTCAGTTCAATTTTGAATTACGCTATTTCTCAACAAATTATTGCCGTAGGGAAATTTAATGGAACTGAGTAAAATCTGCCTCATCATCGGATGTTTTGAACGGAGTTGTCACTTTGACAGCGAAACAATATCAGCGCCTTTGTTTTGTGACCCGTAACGTAATTGACTTCACATCCCAAGATAAACAACCATATCATAGGTACTCTTTTATTGCTTTATTTTTCTGAATCGATTGTTTTTGAATTATGAATTTTTTAAATTCATAATTCTGTTTCCTAATTACCGGAAAATTGTAAACCAGAGACCGCCAATGATGCTGAAACTTCAACTTGCCTTCATCGTGCGCGCGCTCCACTGTTTCGATCGAAGTTGTTTTGATACACGTTGTTTTGATAGAAGTTACGAGATCAGGTCGATGTAGCGCGTGAGCAAGCATACAATGTTGAATTTAGATAGTTACTCGGGCTGGGGGCATTTAGAGCGAATTAACGCCAGTAACTGTCTCAAAATTTTTATTTACTTTGTTGTCGAGACAGGTCCGAATTGTGGATGAAATAGACGCATATTTATAGCTAGAAATGAAATCTCATTTCTATTTTTTTACCTTTCAAGTAAGATGTACTAGTTCTTAATGTGGGTGTTACTAAACTGTGGATCAGCGGACCACAGAACCTCCGTAACCACTGGAACTCGCAGAACCCATAAAGGAATTAAATAAAAACTAAAAAGACCTTAACACTGTTGGAAAGTTTACTTTCGGGTGTAAGGAAGAATATTTTAAAAGAGAAATATGTCTTAATTGTCCTCGATATTCAACTACAATTGTTGTAGGGACATTCACTGTACAAGAGTATGTGTCACCTACCCTGAATGTCAATAACTGAACCATAATTTGAAAGCTTCAATGGTTTGGGTACTGTGATATCCAAGTAATGCTTCATCTTAAGGCTCTCAGCAAACCTTTAGGCTGGATTTACCATCGTTTAATTTCATTTCATTGTACATAATCCTGGAATGAGGAATGTCAGTGTAAAGTAACATCATTGCTTGTGACGCATGTAGAATTCCAGGATGACCAGGGCCTCAGGAGGGAATTTACTGAATTTTGCATGCATTGGACTTGTTTGGTTGGTGTTACTCTCAGACATATCTTGGAAAGGGTTAAATAACAGGAAAAGCAGATGAACTAAAACCAAGCTAAATTACCTTAAATCAGCCCTAGAAATTCAAATGATGCAAAAGAACATCCATTTGAATAGGGTTAATTTGTCCTTATTCAAAACTAGTTCAGATCTTTTAAAGGTTTAGGGCATGACTGTTCATTTCCATGCAAATCCTTATATTTCCCCCATGGTATGATGAAAACATATTTGCATATTCACAGAGGCCCACTGCATGAGCGTGGGCTTTCAGTGGTTGGATGTCAAGGTAGATTTTTAAAAAAAAATTATTTTTCTCTTAAAATATTATCTTCCTTATACCAAAAACCAAATTTTGAACAGTGTTATGGTAGTTTTAGTTTTTCTTTTCTTTTATTTTCTTTCTATTTATTTTTAACAAAAAACTCATGGCTCCACGGGTTCCACTGGTTCTGAACAAATAATTTGATCTATTCAGTTCTTGTTACTTATGGTATTTTTTTTTCATCTTTTATTCAGTAAGCTTTTGTTAAACATAATGTGGAAATAAAATTTTTTCTTTTTTTTTTTTTGGCAGCTCTAACCATGCAGTTTGTATCTCACTGTTTTGTGGATTATCATGATCCTACTATTGGTGAGTAAACATTATCGGTACTAGGTACTGAAGGTGGAATTTCACTCGCAAGAGAGTAAGAGTCAGAGTCAGAGTCATAAGAGCACTTCTGACCTGGCAAAATTCTAAAAATTGTAGTTGTAAGTAGAGTCATGAGCTAAATGGAACTGGACTCAGAAGAATCAGAATGGTTTCATTTTCTTCCAGTTCTGCCTATGACTCCAAGGTTTATGATCCAGTGAAAACTAGATTGTTGGAGTCGCAAACAGAAAGGGAAGAATAACCAAACAGAATGTCAGTTCTCATTCTCCAGCCCTTTAAGTATAGTCTTCCACATAGGACTGCGACAATTCAGTTTTCAGTTTTGTCAAGGGCATGGACATTTTTCTTCCAATGCTGTCAGCTAAATTTTTTATTAGTTTGTGTTGCTCTGTGCGTATGATTAAGACTTTCACTCCAACTGTGTGGTAAGTGCAAACCAGCCTTAAACCTTAACGCACAGAAAAGGAATATCTGTTTTCCCCAAGCAATAATGATTATCCTGAAAGTGCTAAGCTTAATCAATTTGTTAAAATTTGTTCATTTGTTTTGATTACTACCAATTTAGAAGATGCATACCAACGTCAAGCTGTAATTGATGGAGAGTCTGGATTGTTAGATATTTTAGACACTGCTGGACAGGTGGGTACAAACAATGAAAACCATGATGTTGCCCAAAAGGAAAAAAAAAACTGAGATAGCTGAAGGAAAAACAAAGCATTATGCTTTGTTTTTTATTTAATTTATATATATACTTTTTGAGATTTCATGCAATGTTTGTTAAGAAGATGAACAGCATCTTTTTCAATTGAATATAAGAAGACATACTCTATTGCATCACTCTTAAGTATATGAGATTTCATGCAATGTTTGTTAAGAAGATGAACAGCATCTTTTTCAAATGAATATAAGAAGACATACTCTATTGCATCACTCTTAAGTATATGGGTTATCTCAGATGAATGAAAATTTAATGACAAAGGGTCCTCAAATTAATTTTTTAAAAATTTGGAGTTTGGGGGTCTGGTGATTTCCATGAAATTATGTAAGTTTAAACCCAAAAGGGAAAAGTTAATTCATCTCTGAGATTGGACGGTCATAAGAGGCTCTTTTACTGAATAGCAGCTGTATATTAAGCATGAAATAATTTTTTTTTGCTGAACAGGCTATATTAGTACCAGTAGCAGATTACAAAATTGTTTTTGTTTAACTTATAGCAAGAGTTCACTGCCATGAGGGAGCAGTATATGCGTAGTGGTGAAGGATTTGTCATAATATATTCCATAACAGACAGACAAAGCTTTCTTGAAGCAGCTCAAGCAAAGACGCAAATTGAGCGAGTTCGAAGAGGAGATGGAACACCAATGGTCCTGGTTGCAAACAAAATGGACTTAGAGAGCAAAAGGGAGGTGACCACTGAAGAGGGCCAAGCATTAGCCAGGGAGTTTGACTGTCCATTCTTTGAAACATCTGCAGCCCTGAGGCACTTTGTGGATGATGTTTTCCACACTTTAATTCGACAGATACGGAAAAAGGAAAGATTGGGTATGAAGCTAGCTCAAAAGAAAAAGAAACGTCATCATAGGGCAAGCACAATTGTTCAGAATTTTTTCAGACGTCAGAAGAAAAGGGTGTAAGTGTATCTGGACATGAGGTTGGGAACAAAAATGATATTGCGCTTCTGTTCATAGAAAATGATAATTTGTATCAAGTAAGTCAAAAATTCCTAATTGTAAATAGCAAATTAGATTTTTCTGTATATTGTGGTCTTTCCAGAGATATAGATTTACAAATTGTTTGATGACAAATTAGTTTTGTAGGTGTAAACATTGTAGAAATTCTCATGGAATCTACCAGGCTTTCAAGAGCTCTGAGGGTTCAAAACATTCATAAAGCATGTGTATGATATGTTGAAATCCTATTCAACCAATGGTTGGGAATTTTTAATACTAAAAAAACTCAAGAGATTCCAATTTGACCTCTAATAGTGAAAAATCTAAAAATGCTGAGGTTTGAAGTTAGAATGTTATCATCATGGAACAATGCAAGTTCACACCCAGAAATTTTGTGAAATATTAAAAAAGGTCACGTTTTAAACATTTGTTTAAGAGAAATCCTCATCTTTTTTTTTGTTTGTTTTTGGAATAAACAGAAACTGATCACAAGTTGTGCATAATTAAATCAGTTGAAAGAAAACAGAATTTTTTTTCTCCTAAGGGAAACTTACAGTGTGATATATTTTGTTACATATGTCACATACACAAAACTGACCAATCCTATTGCAGAAAACAAGCAATGAGTTCCATCTAAATCCTTAGACATCTTTGCTTAATTACTTAGAACTTTGCTGCATTCATTGGCTGTTTGAAGTAATAACATAACTGGTTAATTTTGTTGAAGTGACGACAGTAACTGTAGTGGCTCTATACATAGCTGCTAAGTTTTATCACTTTTTACTTATAAATATCACTGTTTACATATAATCATTGCATGTTAATTATAAGATTAAATAGTAAGTTGGGTAAATGTGTTGAGTTTGGAGTTTTTCATTCAAGCAGAAATCAAGCAAATGAGTAACACAAGGATGGGCACCTTCTAAGACCATGAAAGACTTTCAAAAAGTCAAATGTAAATCAATAATTTTGTTAATTTTGTACATCCCATGATAAATTTATTTTTAAGATCCTGCCTGTTTTTAGAAACTATTTGAATGGGCCAGGGCTCTGACTGAATAGTGAGGTTCCCCATCAAACTCTCTACCCTCTGATCTTGTGCAGTGATAGAAAGAGTTCTAAAAAAATTTAAATTGCTGGAATGTGCAATGCTCTCTGCTTTGGTCTAGAAATTCAGTCATTAATTTTTTTATTGTTCTTTAATTAAAGTTAGAGGATAGGTGGTCCTTTGTGTGTGCTCCATCATACAAGTCATTCGAAATCAGTGGAAATCACCCCACATCTTGTTAAGTGTCTGAGCAATGTGCACAGAAAGTGCATGCAGGGGCCAACTCAATGAGGCAATTTTTCTTGACTCATGATGGACCACACTAAGAAGGAAGGAATATGCATACTCTACTTTGAACATGTGTAATAAACTCAACCAATCACCTCATAAAAAAAAATATAACAGGTCCAAGAGAAGATTTCTCTCTTCTTAACCCATTTAACCCTAAAGATGACCAGCAACTAATTTCTCCATACAGTAATAATGCCAAATCATTTAAGAAGATCATGAGAAATGAAGAAACGATCACCAACGTAAGAAGCTTTGATTATAAGACAAATTCTCCTAGTCAGTACCAAGGGAAATCTGGAGAAGAGTATGGAGAAAATCGATGCTGATGTTAGGGTGTAAAGGGCTTAATGAAAGAGAAAAATATTCTGATTGAATGAGGTGATTATTTAAAGCAGTAACATCACAGTTACTTCCAAAATGTATTTATGCAAGGCAATGTAGTCAGCTTCACTTTAATCTAAAGTAGGTGAAGATTATTTGTTAGAAATGGAAATGAAGAGTATTTTAATGATGTTGTAATTTAAGAAGCTTTTGTATAATAGTGGCTGTAAGCTTTCTTTTTATCTGTATATGGTGCTACATAGCTATATTAGTGATAAATTAAACACTGTCTCCATTAATCTAGTCTGATACGTTTATCTCAAATTTGAGAAAAGTTGCGGCGTAGGGTAGGGGAGGGTAGGGCCAAAATTTGAGGGACAGAAAAGCAGGCTCTGTCACTTTTAGTAGTCCATATTGTTTCTTTAATTAGCTGATACTTTAAATTGTACAATATTCAAAGCTTTTGAAAACGCAATCTAGGGTGAAAGCAGAATGGCTTTAGAGGCCCAATAAATTACCGGAACCTTCGAGAATCTGCTCCTAAAGTGGGACCTTTTTTGGTATTATTATTTGAAGGTATTGATGAGAAAAAAAATACTTACGGTTAGCCGCTAAAAAAGAGAAACTTGGTTGTCAGTGAGGGTAGCAAACTACAAAACTTTTTCTACAAAGACCAAACACGTACCCTTCTTTTCACGTCTGGATTCTGCTCTCGGTTTAATAGGAAAATCTGAGCATTTCTATCGGATAAATTGATACCACTGCCAAACGAATTGAGGATAAAACCCTTAAAAACAATCATGTGTTGTGTCTATAAGATTCAATGTTCACCTGTCGAAGAACCTTCAGAGCACCGAGTCGTCGGGATTGGGATGCGCGCTATTTACCTCGTACTTACCTTGAGGTCCCAGGGGATATTGGGTCACCCGGGGTCAAAGTTTAGCGCACACTTAGTCAATATTTATGACGTCACAAGTGAGGAAAGGAGAGTTATATAGACTTGTTTAGAATTATTTCTCTTTCGTTCGCATTTGCGCAAAAAAGATATCTCACAGGTATTTCTTCAAGTTTCGTCCCTTGGATATCACTAACAGCAGAAATCTGTTCCCCGTGAAGATCCGTCGTGTCACATCCGTGTTGTCAACCACAAATGATGCCATAGCGGTTATATCGTTTCCTTGTTTCAATGTTTTAAATAAGTTTTCAAGTTTTAAACTACTTCTCTGTTGTGAGCAGTGGGAGTTTACCGAGAGAGCGGATCGTGGAAAACTTGCTTTGCTCCAACGGAGGTCTAACGCTCCAGACGTCCGCTTTCCAAAATTCTCTATTGCAGTGTATCTACCTTTCCCAAATTCTAACTAACAGTCAACCTAGTGTCCCACAACACAGCGGTCAAACATGGGGCATACGTTTGGGGATCAATTTTGGACGCCCGCGCGTCAATTTTTGAATATTTCCCACGCAAAATTTCAACGAAAAACACAACACACAACTGCTGTCTCGCAACTTTAGGCGAAGGAAAATTAAAACGGCGTTCATAGAAATTTGTTAAAAGGGAACAAAAGTAGGGAAAAGCGAAGCTTAAGACTCCTCGAATACAAAGCTTATTCAATTACGTACTGTGTTGATTTACCTTTCTGTTTTGAGATTTTTACCAAAAACGTTATACGCTTCTAAGACATCGTGCCTTACTGGCTTGTGTTTTTGTTTGTAACTCGTGGAAGATAGCTTGGTTGTGGCGGCCTGAAAGCACGCCACCTAGTCATTACAACGTTAACACATGCGCAGACGTTTGAGCGTTGTGGCTTGTTTCCCTTGCTTCTGACGCAGTTCATCAGTATCTTTAAAAACTAATAACCGCGTGCCTTGCATCCCGCTTTGTCTAGTGAAAGATTACGCCTAGTGCACTCAGAATTGAGCAAAATTGACTTTCCACTAAACGTCTAATCGTATATTTAAACAGCAGCCTTGCACAATAAAATATAAAAATATATCTTTATTTCCCTTGAAGGATCCAAGAAAACTTTAAAATTGTATTACTTCGTGACAGAAGTAACATCAATTTGATGGTAACTTCCATTATTGGGTGTTTGAAAAATTAATTTATAACAATTTACCTTGTTTAATTCGTATGCTTTGTACACCCAATCGCATTAATAGTAATGCTATATGCAAAAATAATAACTCATCATTTTTATCTATGTTTCGCTGAATTTTTTTAAATTAAAGATAAAGATCTTTCACTAATTTTGGTTCCATAACCGAGACCATAATGAGAAAGCACGACATGTATATCCCTCTGCAGTTTTTTCAGATGTGAGCATACTTTTCATAGTACTTAATACCGGGCTATGGAAATAAACGAATACAAATGCAACTTTCTGCAAGCAAATGATTTGAGTGAAATAGTAACTGTTATTCAAAGGTTTTTACTTCAAATATAAGCTTGGAAACTAAATGCCTTTGATAAAAACTTTGTTGTAAAACTAACTATCTCAACAAAAGAATATGAACAGGTTTCGTTCTGAAATGTAAAGAATAAGATACTTAGAAAACATGTCAGTTAACATGGTCAATGAGGACGGGATTACAAACATTTGTTTTCAAAAAATAACTTTCTGAACCGCAAAGATCGATTATAATTTTACTTTGCGTATCTATTTGCCTTTTTAAATTGAAAATACGTGTTAATCTTCGCACTTTTTATGAGCAGATCGCCTGACACACGAGTATGCGTAGTAAGTCTTTCCCCCTTTTTTATATCTGTTAGAATGGCGATTAATTAAATAACTGTCTATTTTCTGAACGAATAACAGTTCACGATTGTCGTGTAGAACGACACTAACCATAAGTAGAATTTTACATTCTCTCGTCTTCGTCTTCGTCTTCGATAAGAGACCAGTTGCATTCATCATCAGATTCAGCTCTACCGTTACATTCTACACTAGTGTAGTATTTCATTCTCTTTTTGGATCGAAACTGAAGAATCCCAAATACAACAAGAAAAGTAACAATTGCCAGTGACATAGCTACAATGGCTATTGCCGATAGCCCAGTCTTTCCGGGATCTACGAGCACAAATTTGAGTGCACTATCATTTGGATACTGCACTGAGCGATTCCTGTCAATAACTGATGATTTACATTCTCTTCCACATGGATGACAAGATCTTGTTTGTTCCTCAATGGAATGATTGGGCGAACACTGTACAACGCACATTCCACGCTCAAGATAAAGCGGGCTCTTACATAAGCGACAGTTATCTGAAGAGAAACCATAACAAGATTGACAGACAGGATGACACGTTTGACACTGATGAATACCATACTGTTCCGTAAGAAACGATCCACTGGGACAGCTACTGACACAAGTAAAATTGTAGAATACTTTGCCTTGTGAGCAACTAAGACAGTTGAAACTCTCTGGGCCATTGCATGATCTGCAATTTGGATGACACTTCTCACATTTTCCTTCAAGAGAAAATTTTCCTTCAGGGCATACTGAGCCGCAAGTTCCTTTGTCTTGACTTTGAACTAAGTCTTTTGCACATGATAAGCAAGTGTCTGCACCAGCACCAGAACATGTCTGGCAGGTTGGGTGACATTTCTCACAGAGACCTGTGTCCCGATTTGGAAATGTTCCATGGGGACATTCCTTTTTGCACGAAAAGCCAACTAGACTTGTATCTGGTTTGCTGCATGCGATGCAGTCATTCGCTGTAGGCCCAATACACCTTGAACAAGAAGGGTGACATTTTATACACTTCTGACGACTGGTATCCAATACCCAGCCATGTTTGGGACACTCTCTGATACAGTAGTGCTTATAGAGCACAAATGGTGGTATACATCTTGTGCAATTTCTGAGGCCATTCCCTGCAAAAGAATTGGATAAAAGATAGCCAACGTGAGTATGATAGAATGATTAAAGCTTACTCTTTAGTACTTCGACACCTGTAGACTCAAGATCATTGCATATCGAATTTACAAGCCAAAAGTGATATTTTGAACTAACCGTGGATAAATGGTGTACCGACTTTATCCGAACCTTTCGATCTATGAGATATTTTCTACTGTTCTCTCATTTTCCATGGCAAGTTTAATGGTTTACAAACGTAACTGAATATTGCAGGATGAGATACTCTGACCTTAATTATATTTATATGTTGACAGTTGTACAGCTAAGGAAAATAACTACTCATAAACTTACCTCCTTCACAGGTTGAGCAATAGTAGTCACATCGCTGGCAACTATTAACTTCTCTGTCAAAGTAATAGTCTGACGGACAAGATGCTAAACATCTTGAGTTCGCCATGACAGATGCAGGATGACATCTGGTACATTGATCCGCACCGGGTCCTGTGCAAGACTTGCATGATGAATGACATGGCGCACAACTCTTTGTTCCTGGCAGTAGATAGGTTCCAATCGGGCAGATACTGACACAGATTCCATTATTCAGAACCTCGTGTTCTTTGCACCGGACACAGTTGTTGGAAGACCTCACACATTCCTTGCACATACCATCACAAGGTTCACATGAGTTAGTTTTGCTACGATATTGGCCTGCTGGGCACTGTGTTCGACATGAATTAGCAACAAACAATAAACCTGGCTGACAGGACAAACATTCCACTTGGTTTTTGCATTTTGTGCATCCAGGGGAGCACGGCTTACATCGTGTTGTATCCAGCTCACCGAAGTAACCGTCTGGACACTCATAGGAACACTGTTTTGTTTGCAAATCCAGAAACTTTATATCACTGCAGCTTAGGCAGTCTTTTTCATCTGGACCAGTGCATGAATGGCACACAGGATGGCATCTCTGACAGCCGTCACTACTATTAAACTTGCCTCTTGGACAAACTGGTTTGCATTCAGAGCCATCAAGCGACCAGCCAGCTGTAAAGAAAATAGGTTTTAAAAAAAGGCGTTACAACAAAAGAAAATCTTCCCTGCTCCAAAAAGTTTTATCCGTTTGTTCTCTTGTAACAATGTGGCAATAAGCGGTCACAGGAAGTGAAAATTGTGGAAAGAGAAAAAAAAGCGACATGTAAATCTTGAATATACGATTAGGCTAAACGAGTCCTCCTAAACTAGTCCTTTTACAAAGGTGATCAATTAAAAGAATTGCTCCGAGGAGAAAGGTCAGAAGAAAATACTTTATTTTCCTATTTCTGTCATCGTTTTCATGATTATAGACCCCCTTGAGTTCTGCATAAAAAAATGATGATAGAGTTCAAAATACCTCTACAAGTCTGGCAGTCGCTAGCAGACGGTCCACGGCATGTTTCACAATTTGTGTGGCAAGATTTACAGGTAGGAGGATTTTGACTGTGGAACGTTCCATCCGGACATTTGGTGACACACGTTGATCCAGCCAAAACATTCGAAGGGGAGCAAGAGAAACAGTGGTTGCTTTCCTCACCAAAGCATGTGCGACATGCTGAGTTACAAGGGACACAGCTGCGCAAAAAAACAAAACAAGATAATGTAAATGACGATTCTTTTTTAGTTGTACAAATATTACATAGCTCTTTAATCAGTTAAATCGCAAGAATCAGCGTGGTCTGCCATACGTTTTCTGCTGCATCACGTTTTGAAAATTATCAATGAGAATAATATGCTAATAAGCTATCCCCACCACATTACATACCAAGCCTCACCTGGAATTCCTAGGGAAGGTTCCTTCAGGACAACGTATCAAGCACTGAGATTTGTACTTAACAAATCCTTCCGAACAAGACTGACACTCCAGACTCGAGGAATGACTGCAAGAAGCACATCCAACCTGGCAATTTTCACATATCGAAGAGGTACTGTTTGGAAATGTGCCAGTTGGACAATGTTCAGCAGACAAACATTGATGCACGTGTAGAAATTTGCCTTCTTGACAGCTGGTGCATTTGGTGGGTTCGATAGCATCACAATGTTTACATGACGACAGGCAAGCAACACAAGTACCATTTGAGGATTCCCCATACTGACCTAGAAATGACATCGATCAAATCAATCCATATCTTATGAATATCAAGTACCAATAGTATGATAATTGCTGCATAATTATGACAGGGTTGTTGAGAAGAATTCTAAAGCCAGCAGTAAGACCACCCTTTTACACTTACTAGGTAACCTGAGTGGTTGGTTGTTTTTCAGGCATTTGTTAAAAATGAAGACGGTAAATCAGTTCAAACACAGGTGAATTTTCCCTTCCTACAGCGGAACTAATGGACAGACAGAGCCAAGCCTATTATAAAGTGAAAAAAAAATTGAGATCTTCACTTTCAAGCCTACATGCTATTATCAGTCAACGTACCCTCAGGACAACTTTCAACACATGTCCCAACTGGGGTTCCAGTCCTAAAGTGTCCCTTGCTACAAGACAGACAATCGGATGCTGAAGATCCTACACAACTGCTGCATGATGCAGAACAAGGTTTGCATTCCTGGCTTTCTCTATCCCCATAGAATCCACTTGGGCAAGATGCCTTACACTCTCCCCCATGCAGAAACAGTTGCTGCTGAGTTTCTTTAGTGCCACATTCTGTGCAAGAGCTTGCACCACCAGCATGACATTTACGACAAGAAGGGTGACAAATCTTGCACTGTCCGTCTTCTGCTAAGTACTGTCCATCTGCACATTTAGCTACACATCTGCTGAAATGATGCCTGTACTGTGACCTACAGGAAGTGCATGACGTTGCATTACCGGCACAAGTCAAACATGACTTGTCACACTTCCCGCACATCAGAATAGAACCATTAACATGTTTATACCAACCATCGGGGCAAAAGTTCACACAACTTCCATTGTTCAGAATAAGAGGTGGATGACATGATAGACAGTTAGGTGAGTTAGGTCCATAACAAGTTGCACATGTTGGACTGCATGGGGCGCACAGTTTTGCAGCCAGATCTCTGTATTCTGTCTTGGTGCAATCGGCAACACACTCCTTCAAAAAAATAATCACGATTTCGATTCATAACGTCACACCTATGATATTTCTATATCCTTGACTGTAACAGTATACAACATAAACCATAGGTGTCTCTTTAACTAGAGGTAATATCCAAGAACATGAACTTGTGACTGTAAATTGAATAATAGTCTTAGCAAGGTGATCTCAAGCTTCCTTCCATTATTGTTGGTGGTTTGCTAGAGGTTATAACACTGGTAAACCACCAAAAATAAAGGAACATGCTGTATATAACTTATAAAAATCAGGCTGTAATGGCAAAAGATTCTTTCACTTGTAGCTAAAGGATGATATCAATACTCAAGTCGTGAGCCGCAGGTCTACATATCAAAACTCAAGTTGTGAGCGACAGGTCCACATGAAACTAATTATATGAAGACCTGTCAATATGATAATAAGTGCTACAACAATGTTTTCCAACTGCAGTTGGTCATAGTATTAGTCATGCATTACTAATTAATTACTCTTACATTGCTGGTGCTTCTTCTGAAGTGCTTACACTCTTTACATTGGTTTGCCCTTGGTCCAGTGCAGCCATTTTGGCATTCCAAGTTGCAGGCAGCTACTGGTTCCTTTGTGGAATCAGTAGGTTGTGGCGGTTCTGATGTGCCATAAGTAATCAAATACCAATTCTTGAGTGTTCCACTATTTCGAGAAGCACCTGGAAAAGATAAAACCAAAAAATACACTTAATCAACAATGCCTTTTTGTCCAAACCATCTTTCCCTTCCTCTTATGGAATCATGAAAAGTCAATTACATAAGGTCTCATACTGATTCATATCCATTTCTTGTGATGAAAGCAGTTTCCTTTATATTATGATTAAGGATTAGAATTCTGTTATTCTCAGAGACTAGAACACCCTTCGGAAATGGCTAAAGTCATACAACACCATTTCAAAAGGATAAAATTTTTTTCTTATTGTCTTCTGTCCTTGAAAAATAATGCACACAATGAATACTTGTGAGAAACATGAAGATTTAAATATACAAATGTCTTTTGTCAGAGAGAGCTTTCCTCACCATGGTTTTCAATCTCCAATGTCCATGTTCCTTTTGGATCTTCACCCCATGTATGAGTTGACATGAATTCCCAATCTGTAAAGCCAGCACCTGAGTAGTCTTCCCTTCGCTGTGGCAATAAAACTGAAGCTGTTCCACAAGGGGAAATCAGCTTAATAGTGAGGTCTCCACGTCGTGTAAAAGTCAAGGTTATGACCACTTGGACATGTTCCAAGTACCGCACATAGCGGTCACTACCTGAACAAGCTGTTGCATCAATAGTCACCTTTAAAGAGCCAGTTCCAGGAATTGGTCTAAAGGAGAAAATGTAAGGTGATGAGTAGTAAATTAAATGAAAAACAGGACAACAGATCTTTTATGATGCATTGTCATTCATTCTGAAAAATTTATAAGTTTCAAATTTAAGGATCACCTTTGCTGTGCTTCAGGTATTTCACAACAGACATGCTGGGCTGGTGTAGTTTTCCACTTCCTTGCAAGGTTGACAAGTGCTAAAGCATCAAGTAAACCGTAACCAAACTTGTGGCTGACCTTCCTCCCAACTGCATTGACAACAAAGTCATCGGATTTCAACTTAGCATTGGATGATGTTCGAACAACAAGATGCTGCATGTCCCTCCAGGTCAGGTTACAACTGGGTGAGAAGAATGAGCATGTTAAAATTAGGCACACCCTGAATGATGTGACTACGAAATATCTTCATCATTAAGTCACACCAACGCTGTTACTGTGAAACTGAGAAAAGTGAACATTTTACCTCCACAGGTGACCTGACCAATCACAACAAAGTTCAGCACATGCAAGAAAACTTCCAAAAAACACAAACTAATTTGGAGTTCAGTTATCCAAAGCCTTTACCCATTTGGCATTTCCCTGACACATAATAACATTCCATGCATGCCTCTGGTGTTCATTGTTATCTGTGTTTCACAGTACTGTACAAAAAGGAATGAGGGATCAGTACTTACTTAACTTCCATTGCAAGGGCTAATATTCCAGCAGCAAGAGGTGCTGAAGCAGATGTGCCTGTATGTGAATCTGTACATCTACCATGCAGGTCTGTGGTAACCTATAACCAAACATCATGTTGTTACTTGACTTCTGTTTATAACAACATTAAATTACAAATATTTTTTATTTGAAAACAAGTGATACAACCTGGAGGTTGTAATGCTCTTTCAGCGACAATTTACCTCCAGTAGCTTCATGCCATTTTGTAAAGGTAACATTGAATCTTACAACAACAACTGTTATGATATTTGTAACAAATAACTGAATAAATACAGTAAGGAAAAAGTATCTATACTTAATGTACATACAATTTTTCTCATATCATAGCTCCCACTGCTAAAAGTAGTGGCCAGAGTTGATGCACAGTACTCAGAATACCATGGAGAAGTTCCATGTTCTGTTGCTGAGCTGATTGACAAAGTGTAAATACTATTTGTGTAGCCATCACAACTGCAACTGTCATGGCCTCTCCCCCCATTGCCAGAGGCCCACACAAAAATGGAACCTAATCCACCACGGCCCTGTAAGGGAATGAAACAAGCTAAATGTCATTTACATTTTTCATTTGATTTCTTTTATTATACAGCTCTTCTTTCAATGTTACCCTTAATAATACAATGGTATTTTCACCAAGAACATGGAACACCCAATTAAAAAGTTTGATTCAGACGTCATGCTTCTGCTGTGCTTTTGTTGAACTAAACTGAACTGAATTAAGTTTGACAAGATAGAAGCATGATGTCTGAACTGTGGCTTGCATTAAAAGAGGCCATAACAAAAAAGGTTTACCTTTTGAACACCATCAGCAAATGCCTTTTTTGCCAAAGTAGCTGGTCCATCAACTGTTCTCCCATCATCATCAGGTCCCCAGCTTGAACTGTACAAATCAATATGCTGAGGATTAAGACTCAGAGATGATGCCTCTACTGCATCTGTCACATCACCATCAAGCATGCGTACACCTAAAACCCACAGAAAAACACATGTAAAAATTTTTGCAATCTGAATTGATTCACCCAAAAGAGAGTAACGGGTCCAGAGTGATGACACCTTAGCATGTGGTGAAAAAATCTCAGATCTTGGAGAAATAAGCTCACTGTAGTGTGCCCAGTAGCATTCTACAATCAGAGCTCTCCTAGTATTGGTAGCTTACAGGTAAAAAGAGACTTGATGTAAGTCTATCACAAATACACCTCAAGCACTTCGTAAACTCTCCCTGGCAATTTTCAGGTGCCCATTTACACTCTTGAGTGAAGAGGATTGTGAATGTAAGAGGCCAAAGAGGCTTCAAAACTAATTCAGGTTTCTTTATTCCTTTGTTCTAAGGCCTCCTTTGGGCTAATTTCCTCTATTCTTTTGGAGCATCCAATCATCAAATTGTAGAAAAAAAGAATTATACTGAATTCTCTTTAAAACTTTCATATCTGAAATCAGAATTCACAGTAATCCTAAGTCATCTTCATCTGGCGTCAAACAACTCAGCCCTGGAGTCTTAGGCAGGCAACACACCTGAGGATTTTATTGCCATTGCAATGTTCAAAATTGCATGTCAGATATTGGGGATTTAAAGCTTTGATCACAGCAATTGGCACATAAAATCCCCAAGTGTGTCGCTGCCTTTGAGTAGAAGACAGCTGGTTGCAAAACATGGTCTAGGGGAAGCTGTCAAAACTGGTATTGCATTCTTGATTAAGCAATCTTTGAAGACCTTCAAATTTTCCCTCAATACTGACATTAGCCTGTAGATATTTCCTTGCAACTGCATATGCAGGGTGTAAAATTGCACCCAATATAGGTGCCAATGCAACTAAATTTTTCATTTCGGCCACCAAATCCTGAAAATTAGTCGCCAAATTGGCAACTAGAGTGCTTCATCATAACGTTACTTAGAGATAAAGTGAATTAAATTGGACATCCTAGTGTCCAATTTGTAGCATGTTAAAGATCTTTTTCCTAACTTAATTTTGGAGGGTCTATCTAGAATGCTGACAGCGTTTAAAAAAGGTTTTATTTGTCTTTAAAACTGGTGACCAACTTTTTTTGAAATTAAATTTAGGAGCCAAGTGGCTATCAGAAAAAAAAGTTAATTTCACACCCTGATATGGTATCTTTTATTTGTATACTTACATGTTTATACCTATACAGCCAGCTTACCTCCAACTTTTGATCCTGGTGCCACACCCACACCACAGACACTGTTGTTCCATGCAGCAGCCACTTCACCTGCACATCTTGTACCATGCCTGGGTAATGTGAGAAGCAAATAACTTAATCCTTCAATTCCCAGAAGTGATCAACATGGCATCAGAGCTTACAGAATTAACGAGGCAAAGTGTAAACTGATGTACCTCATTGATATTGAAGCATTTGCTTGCCTTTTTACATGACTTACCTGTTTTCATCATTCCATGTTGGTCTTGGAGCAGGATCAGGATCATTGCTGTTATAGTCATAACTAGCCTCGGAATCCTGAAAGACATGTGATGTAATCATTAACCCTTTACACCCCAACATCAGTATCCATATTCTCCATTCTCTTCTCCATAAGTTTCCTTTAGTACTGACAGGGAGAATTTGTTTAACAATCAAAGCTTCTTTGGGTGGTAATCATTTGCTTTATTCTCATGATCTCAATGAATGATTCAGCCATATAACTGTACGGAGAAATTAGATGCTGGTCACTCTCTCAGTTTAAAGGGTTGAAGGGGCTTTCAGAAATCTTTAAGGTATCACTGAGTTTCTCAATCCTTCTGTTCAATGGTAGATACTGAAAATAATGAAGTACTATAAAAGGACTGCCAATGTTTAATCTCAGTTTCACTTAAAACCATAAACACTTAAAGTGGCAACAACATAACAGCTTGCTTCATGGCAAACTCTTATATAAATTTATTTGCCAAAATTTCTCAAACTCATCAGAGCAACAGTACAAAACAGTGGCAACTTGGGGGTGCTTTTACTATTTATTGATTATTATTAATTTACTGCAAAACCTTTTTAATACATCCCCCACAAGGCTATGAAAATGTGGTCCAAATTTAGGGGGTCATAAAAACAAGGTGGCTGTAAAAGGCCAAAAGCAAGAAAGGGTTAATATTGCTTTAACAATTACTGATAAGAACTTACATAATTATCCTTTAAATCCCCATGTTTATACTCAATTCCTACAAAAGAATAGGACAGACAGACAGACTGAGATGAAAGTAATAGAATGATAACAATCAAATTAACCATAGTCAGTGAAAGTCTAGGGACTAAATTATGCTAGAGGAAATTGAAATATTCACAATACTAATGGTTGATTTCAAATCATTCATGGACAGAAGAAGCTTTTTTGTTCACTTTGATCTCAATGTTGAACTTAATAATGAAGACCTTCATAGCCATTTTTCGCCTTTTCCATGTACAGATACAGTGGCCTAATGCAGAGTGAACTGGACTCAAGGTGAAGAGGTCCAGTTGAAATGAGTATGGGCAAAGCAACTGGGAGGCCTCATAAAACACCAGGGGGTAGCCTGTGAAAGACTAGCAGGAGTAGTTATACTTCTAGTTATTTAACACTTTCACTCTCAAGATCTCATTAGCAATTCTCCTAATTCTCTAAATATTGACTCTCCTTGTTGCCATGGCCAAAGAACCGAATACATCACAATGAAGTATTGATTGCTTTATTGTGATCTATTTCATTGAATTTCTCTGTGAAACCATGGGCTGTAAGGACTAACTATAGAACTTTACATATAATGTATTCATTTGGTCAGGGTTTATTTCATTATCAGGGAAAAGTCAGGGAATTATACTGACATTTGATATCAACTAGAGTGAAAGATTGTATGACCCAGTAACTCTCCTAAATCAGTATCTACCGGTAATCATTATTAATTCATTATTGTTTGTATATTATGAAAGTGTCTCCATTGAGATAGTTCTAACAGCAATCAGATTTGACACAAAGAAATTTCTTTTTCTTGTACTCACTCTTGTTGTCAATATTAGGGGAACTGTATTCACCAATAGTGAGCAACTTAGCTTAGCAATATCTGTGACAAATCAATATTCGAGGTCTTCAATATTCAAATATTCGTATATCTGTGTACTTGCAAAAGATATCCTGGTTAAAATTCACATACCATCATCTAGGATGGACACAACTATGCCCTTGCCAGTAACACCCTGTTCCCATACGGGAAGGACGTTGTGATCATATCCTCTAAATATACTGTCTCTATTATGCTGTAAAAGAAAAGCAATAATTCAATGTGAAAAAAAAGCAAATGTTATATATCAGCCCTCCATTTGTAAGAGAGCTGTGCAATATCATTTATGTCGTTCCCTTACCATAACAAAATGTATTTCATCATCTGGAAAAAAAATGGATAACCAAAACCCACTTGAAACTATTACTGAATAAAATCTAGATGGCATATATAATAACTGTTGCAATCAATAAGAAAGAAAATGAGAGCCATTTTTTGAAAATTCATTGCTCCCTCTATCTCTTCCTTGAGATATCACAGTCATACACTGGTAAAAAGGATGGGTGCTCTCTATCACTTCATGTACTTGTTGTACAAATCATTACCTAGTGCTGCTGTCAAATGCCTATGGAAAGGTGTCATTTTAGAATCAATCAAAAAAAGTGCCTGTTTTAGGTTCTCAGTTTGCAGGAAAACATGACAAAAATCCATCTAACAAAAGGAAAAAATAAAAGCTACTGCTATTGGTTATGTTGGGTTTATCTTTAATTTGTCTCCAGCTTGCCATGCAATCCCACAGCCCGCAGCTGGAAATAGGCTCTTTTTTTCTGACTTCCTTTTTATCTGACTTCCAACTGGCATTCTTAAAAGCAGTGCAAACTACCAGTATAGCTGAGCTCAATAACCTAACAACCATTTTATATATCTCCTTGAATCAAGTATTTTGAATATATTCTGGGAGACCAAGAAAATATGAATAGCAGATGTGCAAGAGTGGTTTCTCCCACACGCCAATCAGACAGATTTGTATAAATGTATAATTTACCAGATCAGTACAAAATATCTATGTGGCAAATTAAAAGTGGAGTGGAATGAAAAAAGCAAATAAAATATTCCACTTGGAACAGTTTTTGAGTCAAAATGATTTTAAAAATTGTAAAAATCATAATGAAAAAAAAAATTAAAATACTTTTTCTCATGATAATAATTACAGTGAAGGTAAAGGGAAACCCTAAAGGAATATTTTATATAATAAATTACACCTGCTCCGCTTTCGTGAATCGTTTAAATTACACTATACAAACGGAAATAGAGAGTAATCGTCTTCAAAATGTTTCAAAAGAATTGTTTCAGATTTGTGTCTAAGATTATTTCAAATCTCAGAAATCTCTTTGCACAATTAAATGCACTACCGGTAAACGTAAACTTGCACATGGTACTTTGTAAAACGCTCTAAAAAAATTGGACTTTATGCTCTCTTCAATTAAATTCTATAATTGGGTACAACTTTCACCGCAACGTATCCGCCTCAGATCTATCATTTGCACTTCAAAAATCGTTGTTGGTGTAAATTTACAACTCGACAAAAATTTTCTCTGATCACACGAAAGTTTAAACATACTATTAAGCTCATTTCTACGACTATAAGAGCAAGAACTAGCTCCCTGGCAAACTAACGATAGAATTTGACTTACTCCTAACTTACCAGAAACCACTGTTTACTATAATCTGGATCATTTAACTTGGGATTATAATCTCTTCGTACACGTCTCTTCACAATTTGTTGATCTGCCCAAATCACCTTAAACAGAAGAAATAATATCATTAAAGTCGTTGAGGAAGTGCAAGACTGCCGTAACAAAAGAAACCAACTTCCTGGATTTAGCATGTTCCTGATAATGCTAGAGTAGATGTTAAGAATGGATTATAAAACGCAATGCATACATTAGGATGTTCACCAAGGTCCGATGTGATATCCATGGCATCGCGTTTCGATCGTTTGGGATGTGAATTGTGCTTGAACAAATAAAATCCTTCCAGACTTCCAACCTATAAATGAAGACAAAAAACACTTCCAATTCATTGATCAAACAAACGCGTGAAATGAAGAGGATAAGTTGAATTCCCTCGAGCAGAAAACCTCAAATGAAAAATAGCATCCTTCGAGGCACTTATGCCACTCACGGGAGGCTAATGAATCAATGTCTCCCCTACCTGGCCTAACAGTGTAAGATCCTTTTCTCTTGCTATCCTTTCGGCCTCCCGAAGACCACCATCAACCTTCGCAACCCATGTATTGGAATACACTTCCCGAGTACGACACGTCGCCAAGTTTAACACCGCGATAACCAACATGTAATAACTAGTATGCATTATCGCCGCTTCAAGAAACGATCTTGCCGCAAAAGTGTATACAGAATAAATCAAAAGTGAGCTAACTAAAATACAAAAGGAATAATCGGTACTGCGGAATACCTATACTGATCGAGAACGAACAAGTTCACATAATTTTTCCATACAGATCTACGTGCAATGTCAATAATATGCCGAAACAAAATATCTGTCTTCGTGACGTCACACGAAGACTCCTACTTCCTTTAGTTTTACCGCGCGCGTGACGCAATTTGCTGAAAAGGATTCAGGGATAAGATTTATGGTTGATACTCGGAAATAGAAACCTTCCTAGTTGGCTGCAACCATTCGAATAAGCCCAACCTAAAAATAGTATGCGAAAAAGAAAGAATACATAGCGCGTGGGACTTAATGTTTACTCTAGAGTGAAAGCTGTGATAACACAGCCACCACGCGCCATAAAAGATGAGGAGAAAAAACAAACTCGCTTTTGCTTAAAGTTAATTGATTGAATTGCTAAACTCTGTGAGGAACATTACTAAAAATTTCCTGAATTTCCGAGAATACAGATATAAAGGAGTTCAATTCATAAATCAATTTGATTTACATTTTTCGTTGTCGCTACCTTCACTTAATCTGTTCCATAAACGGTTTTCCGAACCACTGTTTGTAAAAGAATCTTTTTTACACAGCTGTTTCGCTCCCAGAGATTTATTTCAATGGAACAAGAATTGAAAGTTCATTATTTTCAAAGTGCCAGAAAGGCAGATTTATGAAACAAAGCAGGTGCTTTTGTAGAAAAGGACTGTTAGTGAAGCAGATCTTCGAGTTTCTCAGTTAACAATAATATAAAACATCTCAGCCGAGCAGAGAAGAAGTGTCTATGCTGTTCAGAAGTTGAGTTTGCGCTAATTTTTCAATGGCGTACATAACCTGTCAGTAATACTACAACATTGAAAAGAGTGGTGTCTTTTGTTCTAAGGTTACGAAATTCTCTTGTTGTGACAAATTTTTAATACCAATTAAATTGCCATAGCACACTAAAATGTTTAAAGCCTTTTAATAAGCGAAACAAAATAAAAAGCGAGATATGATATTGCATTTAAAGGAGTTTTTCCTTTGTACCCAGCGCCTTTAAAAGTCCGGCTACAGCTCACTTGTATCCTTCAAGGGATAATTCAGACAAAGAATACCATGAAAGAATCGCTGAATGTGTAAACCAGAGGGGGAAATCATTACATTTTTGGCACTCCATTAATTTCCTGTGGAAAACAGAGGGGCGCATCATGAGAGTGACATGTTGGTATATAGTAAATCATCGGCCGCCGCGGGGAAATCCCAGGTTGACATTAACCTTAAATCTCTTAAACTACAATAAATCATTCCCTCTCTTTGTGATTCCCGATACCTCGAAATGAAAGCGAACACAGCCCAACTTTATTCTGTAAATAACCACAAAATATGACATAACTCCACAAAGATAAGAGCGTCATGGAGGCGTTCTTGATGGGAAAGGATTTTATAACCGCGCCTGTCTTCACTTCTGTCGCTATCCAGGTTGCTAAGTAAATATGGGAAACTTGGAGCTGTATCCATATCTCCCCTCAAATCCTGAAACGAACACAGCTATTAGTTCTACGCATCTTGGCGTCTATCAGGCTTCTATTGTGCCGTATAGGCTTTTTCTTTGTAATAAAAACAGACGAAAGGCAAAGTAAACAAACAAAAGAAAAAACAAAAACAAAAATCGCGCCTCGTTAAAAAAAATTCTTGCCGATTGGATGTTTGTCTCGCTAATCTAGTCTATTTATTTCACCCTAAACTGTCCTAATTCTTTTTTTATAACAAAGATATCCTCAATTTTTTTTTTTGGGAGGGGAAAGTGCGCGGGGAGCGAATCAGGTTGCGTATTTTAGTATTGCGCTCATTGAAATTTCTAGAAAATGACACCAAGATACCTGCAAAAGTGTCACTGTTACACTCAATTAAATAGAGATGGATTTCATCATATGGGTTGGTTGTCGTGAGCTGAGCTAGTCCTGTCTTGAATTACGTCTTAAAAGGCAAGGACGTAAAGGCTGAGATACATGTGCCTTGCTCCCCAAAATGGTGCAATTCCATAGTGGGGCGTGGTTATGGAAATGTTTTCCAATAGCTTTAAGTCTGGCTGAACGCGGTGAGATACAGACAAAAGGTCTACTCAAAATGTGTTTGTATTGTACTTGTAAGGCACTTGACAGTTCATAGTCTTTGACCAACTGCTCGTGTTTAGGTAAAATGTCTGAATGATTTTTAATCTTTATGAATTAAAAGTGACGATAATAGTGGTTAAAAAAAACTCGAAAAAGATGTCGAATGCGTCCATTTCATTCTGATCAAAAGCGAGGACAGAGAAAAGGATGAGCGTGGTAGGAAAAGCGAAAAATGACGAGAATGTCAACATATCAACAAGATTTTGATTTATCATTTCAAGTTCCGATATATCACCCCCTCCACTTAAGCCGATGAGACCGATACTGGTCAACAGCTTGAGCGTATCAGGTGTGTCTAAGTTTTTTTTGTTGTTGTTGTTGTTTGTGGTAATGAAACAGAAAACTTTTCTAAAATAGAAACTTATTGCGTTCCTTTGGAATTCGCCCTAGCTTTGTTGTATCTCAAGGCGGGTTATTGCATGCACGCAAGGTCTACTACAAGGCGGTATTCTATTTATTTACTAACCGCAGTGATAAGCAAGTAAGATTTGTGAGTGATACTATCACAAGGTGTGAAATACGGTAAAAATAATATGTTCAACCCATTCGCACGCACTACGGAAATGAACGTTTGCACTATACACAGACGAAAGTTTGTTGCTAATTGGCATTCTGTACACTCAAGAGCTTCAGAGTTGATAAAAACGTCGGAGAACCATGGTTGTATACTGTCTTGAAGCAGTACCCCTACTTTGAGTCACTCTTTCGAGGTCAGTTTTTCAGGGTTAATCACTGGGTCATCTCAAAATCGCGCCTATATTAGCAAAATATCTCAGACGCTAGAGGAGACCAGATGTTAGTCTGGTATGATAAATCTTTCTTCCCAACAGGCGTGAAAGCTTCCCTTGCAAAATAAATCTGTAAACTCAACTGTCGCTCGGCTTATCCTTCTCTGTGCGGTAACAGTCTCACAGATAACCAGTGACTCCTTGGTGTCTCCATTGCTCACATCATTCTCTACATTTGCGCGTTTGTTAGTCAGACAAGAATTCCGCGCGAGCAAACCGTTGGTTCTACCAGTGCTTCTCAGTCGTTTGAGAAATCAGCTAAAACAATAGTTTTTTGACATTAGTAGGTCAAACTATTTCATTACCCAAGAGATCAACCACAACTCAGTTCAGTTATTTTATTCCTGCAAGTGGCCCCTGGGAGCGAAAGACATGCGCCGCCCAGAAAGGAAGGATTTTCAAAAAGCTTAATGTTCGGTTGAAATTTTAATGACCTAAAAAAGTTCTATACAGTTTCGAGGGGTTTATTAAAGAAATCAATGTGACCCCATTCCGAGAGGTTGTGAAAAAATGGCGAGAATCGAGAGGGGCGGCGAAAAGGCTTTTGACCGATTACCGCATACTTTGCTATTGAAAAGCACGAATGCGGAGACCGAATCCCACTAAAAGCGATGAAGGGAATAGTACATATAGAAGGGTAAAAGGTCTGATCCTTCGATTTATGTAAATCGTTTTGAGCACGACGAGCCAAATTGCAATGTATTTATTTTTACTGAATTGCTTTAATCTCATATATAACTTTTTATAATCTGTTACAGCAATAATTTCCATAAAGGTTACGAGCTTAAGATGTATTCAACGGCCAAATCGTCTCGTTTCCAAAATGTACATCTCACTTTTACCTATCAAAGAAATTTGGGCTGTCCAAAGCCTTCTTCAAGAAGATCACAGATATCGTTTTCCGAGAATTACTTCAGAAAAATCCTCTTAATCAATCATCAACCCCAAACAGAGACTGAAACAACAAAAAATCGAATAGCCACGGTTTTAAGGATAATTCTCGGAAAAAAATTCTTACAGTTTTGAGGAAGCAGAGAAAGCTAAGTGAACAGAAGAGCGTTAAAACATTGACCATACTGTGCAAGAAAAATAATCAGAAATCACTTTTTCAGCTGCACCATCGACCTATAAATTTGATATCTTCTCCAACCTTCTGCCAAAATGGCACAACCACAACGATCAGTTACTAAAAAGAACTCCAAAACCAGCTGGAAGAACTAAACATTTGAGAACTACACTACTCAAGATGGCGACAGATCTCCTTGGTGAATTCAGAGCAAGTGCTTCTTCCACCCAAATCTCCTGTCAGTGCCTGTTGATACACAAACATAAATTGACTCTCTTCCTAGCTGATCATCACACTTCATTTTCAGTTTCCATGCATATGAAGAATTTGGTGTTGTATCAGGTAACATCCAAATAACATTGAACAAATTAGCCATGCAGTCTTCTTGTGTAGCGACCGCAAATCAATGACACACATCTTCTATTAACAACATGACTGCCCTTTGCCTTGGGACAATGTGGACAGGTGGTTAAAAAAATGGATCGATATCAGTATCTGGGCAACTGCCCACCTACCCCTCCCCTAACTCAACAACAGTAAATTGACAACATGTTAAGGTGGGCAGTTGCCCAGATAAAAAAATTGTTGTTTCATATTCCACTGAGATCAAAGACATTCCACCACCCAACAGAACAACTTCCACGATTCCCTTAACTGGTCACACCCGAACATCAGTATGCATATTCTCCATACTGTTCTCTATACATTTCCTACGGTGCTGACAAGGAGAATTTGTTTAACAACCAACAGACTACGAGCAGAAGTCTACGGTAAACAATTCCATACTCAACACTGAAAAGAGAAATGCCATTCTTATTATGTTTAGATAACGAGGGCCACATTCTAAGACATCCTTACATTTCCATCCCTGATAGTTGCAAGCACAGCTCTCTCCACATCGTCTGCATGTGAGTGTAATTTCATGTGTCTAAGCATCATCACAGCACTGAGGAGGAGTGCTGTGGGGTTTGCTTTGTCCTGACCTGCGATATCAGGAGCTGTACCATGAACCTGCAAGAGGCAATATTGGCAAATTACTCACATATAACATGCCGTAAATCATTTAGGCAATTTAAGATCTCCACCATACAATGTACTCTCCG